TGCTCACCCCTTTGCCCCCAACTCCCTGTGAGTCAGTCTTTCCCTCCATAACTCCCTTTATCTAACGCTACATTTCTTATGAACTTTGTTTAGTAGGAGATCCTCACTCTCCTGCCCCCCTCTGGACAAAATCATAATACACACAGTTTAGATTCCCAGACAAATGGCCTGGAGCCCCAACCCACATCTGCAGAGAGGGGAGGGAAGGCTGGGCTGGTGGTCAGCACCATGATCTCCGGCGGGTGGTTTGGTGGGAACCTGTACTAGTGGCTGGGAGCAATTCAACATGCCTTAGTTTGCTAACACATAGATACTCAAAAAAGATACCTATTGTTACAGTCATTCATTTCTGCCCTAAAGAAATAAGTCTCATAAAATAGAGATTTGTCCATTTCCCCCTCCTCATCAGTACTTAGGAAATGTTTATCGGTGAAAGAATAAAGAAAAAAGGAAAAGTGGGGATCTGAAGGTGAAGTTAGGGAGGAAGTGGGGCCAGCAAGGAAAGAAGCGTTTGCATCAGGGGCTGGAGAGGCCTATGGCTGAGGTAAACATGCTGGGACTTGAACATGCTGGGACTTGAGGCTTTGCCCACCCCCAATGCTGCAGTAAAGAATGGCTCCAATTGTCACGGGGATACTATGAACCATTTTTCTTTGGTCTGGTAGGGTAGGGATTTCAGAACTAGGTTTCATGTCAGGTCTTTGACTTTGTTAAAGAGTCCAGGTTATTGATGTTGCAGAATATTCCAGAGTCTAGAGTTGCCTGATAGTTTCTTGCCAGTAGATTTAGGTTAAATATTTTTTTTATAAGAACACAACAGGGGGCCCTCCCTGGTGGCACAACAGGTTAAAGTGCAGCACTGTGAAGCTAGCAGCAGCCACTTCAGCACCAGTTTGATCCCTGGCCAGGGAGGTGACCCACATGGCCCAACAGACCTCTCCTGACCCACCCGCTGCTCCCCTCAGCAGTGTACTTCGTCAACCTACCTGTTCTGTTCCCAACTCTGTCTCTGGTGAATCCTCTCATCCTCCCACACCTCTGGCCTGTACCCCAGTTCTGTATGCATAAATATACTTTAAAAAAATACAGCAGGGTGCCCTCCGTGATGGCACTGCTGGTTAAAGCACAGCACTAAGAAGCTTAAGCCACTTCCGCATGAGTTCGATCCCCGCCTGCCCCAGAGGAGATCCACATGGTGAGGCAGACCTCTCTTGACCCGCCCCTTCTGAGCCCGCTGCTCCCTTCAGCAGTGTACTTCGTCGATCTGCCTGTTCTACTCCTCTCTCTGTCGCTGGTGAATCCTCTCACCCTCTGCATCTCTGGCCTGTACCCCAATTCTGTATGAATAAGTAAATAAATCTTTAAAAAAAATTTTAAAAATACAGCAGGAGTGAGGTCATTTTTTTCCTGAACATTTTGAAGTAACTATAGAGGTTCTGTGTGCCTGTCACATATTATAGGACTACGTCTTAAGTAATGATAGTACAAAAAAAAAAAAAACAGGAAATTAACAGTAGTCAAAAAGTGTGCGTAATTCTCAATTATCTTATTCCATGATAACCACAGCTATAATCAAGACACTAGATTTTTCCATCCCCACTGGGATCTCCTGATGCTTCTTCTATAGTCATTTCCGCCCTCAAACCCAACTCCCCATCCCTGCCTCCTGAGCATGGAAACAACTAACCTCTTCTCTAACCTCTTCTCTTTTTTTTTTTTTTTTGTCATTTTTAAGATGTTATTTGAGGTTGATGACAGGATTTTTTTCATTCAGTACAATGTTCATTAGATCCATCCATATACAAGTTGTGTATATCAACAATTTGTTCCCTTCTATTGTTGAATAGTATTCCATGGTATAAACACACTGGGTATATTCACACACACACACACAACACACACAAATACATATCTTATATATATATATAAAATCTCAATTCTATACTAAAATATAATTGAAACAAAGAAGGTACTTGATTAACATCACTTTGTTCACTTCCTTTTACTATAACATTGATGGTGAAAGAAAATTAACACCTGGCCAGGACCATGGTCTGAGTCCACTCATTCTCCTCATGTCTGCCTGGGGTTTCCCCAGGGACTCACTTCCACCCAGATTCTGTGGATGTGCACAAGGGGCACTGGCATGTCTCATCCGTCCCAGTTAGAATGAGTGTGGCTGTGGGACAGCAACTTGTAGTGGAGGAGCATCCTGTCCAGGGTGGGGTCCTGTCTTGGGCCCTGAGTTGCAGGGACAGACTCTGGCCACCTGCTGACCCAGAAATGGAATAAATGGGTTGGAAAATGAATGAATGAATACAAATGATCATTGGATATTAGAAATGTTTTGGGTCTTTATTTACAAGCTTAGTGATGCTCTGCAGCCTGAGTTCAATCCCCAGTCAGGGAGCTGACCCACATGGCACAGGGGACCTCCCCTGACCTGCCCCTTGCTCCCCTCAGCAGTGCATTTCAGTTGATCTGCCTGTTCTGTTCCCCACTCTGTCTCTGGTGAATCCTCTTGACCCGTCCTCTCTCCCAACCCTGCACCTTTGGCCTGTATCCCAGTTCTCGTATGCATAAAATAATCTTTAGAACAAAAAAATTTAGTGATCAATTGTGACAAGAACCATGCTGTAGGAACACTTGTTTCTATCCACTAGTTTATGGTCAAATGAGTTTTGTTTATCACTTCACTTCAAGTCAGTTTCTTCTAAGAATCTACTAGCAATTGTGAGAACTTACTGTATAATGTTGGGTAAGTTTACTATGATTCAATATATGAATATATTGTGAAATGATGATCATGTATCACAGTTTAACCATTCACCTATTTTAGGACATTTTAGTTTTTTCCAGCTTGGGGCTGTTGAAAACTATAGCTTCAATGAACTTTTTTTTTTTTATAAAGATTTATTTATTTGTGCATACAGAGCTGGGGTACAGGCCAGAGGCTCAGGGGCGGTGAGAGGCTTCACCAGAGACAGAGTAGGGAGCAGAACAGGCAGATCTACGAAGTACACTGCTGAGGGGAGCAGCGAGCGGGTAAGGAGAGGTCTGCCACGCCATGTGGTCACCTCTGGGGCAGGCGGGAATCGAACTCACGCGGAAGTGGCTTTAGCTTCTCAGTGCTGTGCTTTAACCCGCTGCGCCACCAGGGAGGGCCAGCTTCAATGAACTTTTAACAGGTGCTGTGTGACAAGGTCAGCACCTCTTGTCATTTTTGCTGTTGGATTCACCTAACAAAAAGGGGGGAAGGGGAGTCTGGCCTCAGTTAAGGCCAACTACTTATTCACTTACTCATTCACCAAATACTATGATTAAATTGGTCACATGGGTAATGACTTTTAGGGAATACCAAGATGAATCAGGAGGTGCTTGAGATCTAGGAGGCAATAAAATATCTAAATAAATAAATCTCTTAATATAACACAGGGCTAAAAGTGCTACATTTCTCAGAGAAAGTTCTGGGGATCCTGAAAAAGGTAATCTTTATTGATATTACTTATACGCCTCACTTGTGGTCCCTTGTCAATGCTTTGAAAGGAAATTCTATCAATCTCCTCAATGCAATGTCAGTTTCGCAGAGTTCTCCACATGCTCCACTTCCCCCCCTCAAGATGTTTCCCAATTCCCACTTCGGTGACTTTACTTCTAATCTCTCTGGAGGGGATCCCTTTTCCCAGCAAACAGTCGCTTTGGGCAAGGTTCTGTAATTTTCCAAGGTGTGTAACTGGCCTTGAGACAAGAACTTTTGTCCTGCCTTGGAGGGACATGGAACCCTTCTTCATTTTGCCACCAGGGGCAGCTCGTCTCTTATCATCTGCCTTCTGCAGACACCATAGACACAAGCACTGAGCCAGCCAGCTTGGGATGCGTTAAGTTCCACTGAGAGACGGGTTCAGCTCTGTCCCAGGGAAGCTAGATGGGGATGAATTCCCGCATGGCCCTTAAGCTTTCTCAAGGTCTCCAGAGCCTGGGTGGTCAAGGTTTCCCAGGCAGTCCTATGATTCCCACTCTGAAAAAGTGATGTAACTACTGTGAAGCTGCTTTCTCTGCACTTAACAAAGGAGACAGCTGAGCTGGTTGAGTAAGCCATGGGCTTTAAGGGCAGGCTGACCTCCTCTAACCATCAGTAAGCAACGGGTGAATCAGGAAGGTGGGGAAGGGAACATCTCCAGTACAGACCAGCTAGCTGGGCTGTGAATTAACTACGAAACGTGGGCAAAGCTGCGGGCACACAGCAGGTCCTCGACACGTGGGCAGTCACTGCTCTAACACTGTGTCAAGAAAACGTGCATTCCTGCGCGGGTGCTGGCGCGGTCTCTTAAATGTCAGAAAATCGTCTTTGGATGCCGCCAAGGAAGCACTAGAGTCACACTGTCTCGGCCAAGGTTTACTGGACCCAAGCCCAAGGCGAGGTTCTGCAGCCCCAGGGAGGGTCTGGCGGAGTCGCCGGCTGAGGCTGGCCGTCCGCAAAGCACCAGGTAGTTGGAGGGAAACATTTTTCGCCGGCTAGCAGGACAGGGATCAGCTTGGGCTGTTCGGGACCGGACGTGATCCAGGGACTGCTGAGCTGCAGGCAGTTAGCGGAAGCTGCAGGTGGCCGATTTCCGGATCTGGGTGGGACTCGTCCTCCCATTGACCTCACAGAACCCTCCCGGAGACCGCCAAGACCACGGCCGACGATCCCCCCGCTCCCCAAGCCGGGAGGGAGCGCGACGAAACCACGGCCGCCCGCCACGCGTGTAGTCCACAGCCGCACACCCAAGTCGCGATCTCGCGACAGCCTAGGGACG